GCAATGTAGCACATGGCAACCCCACATAACCCCCTGCCTGAGGAAAATCAACCAAGGATCTCCTTTTGAGTTTGCTGAGCAAAGCCCGGCATCCCTTCCCCGGCACCAATGGGTCAGTGCTCTTGCTCACATTCTCCCACTTTGGTAACAACTGGAGAAATGGGCCTAGTTAGACCTTTCCTGCAGATTTCCCTGCCTGACCAACATGCCTAACACTGTGGGTGACAGGACAGCTCTTCATCCCATCCGCTCTTGATTCTGGCTCCTGACCTCCTGCTTTGGAGTTTGACTCCTGACGCTGAACGTGGCTCTTGATATCCCTGTTTCAGTTTGCACAGACACTCTCAGTAAGTGATTGTTACAGTGATCAACTGAACAGGGAATTAAGCAAATAATGGTCAGTGCAGAGTACAGAAGATAACTGAGAAAGAAGAGGGACCAACATTGCGACTGCTAGTAGAGCAGAAAGAAGAGATTAATGTTACAATCGCCACGAGCAATGAAGGACAAGAAACCCAACTTCTTGTAAAAACAAAAAGATGATCCGGACAAACAGTAGGAAATGGGTCACTGCAGCTATGCCTGGTTTGGTTTGGAGGCTGTGAGAGTGAAGGAAGTCAAGAGGAGGGTATTGCAGCAAGAGAAACAGAAGACAGTTAGGGCCCATATGGGCACACTTCAGTATCATGGACGGAGTGAGAAATCCAGATTTTGTAGGTGATGTGTTGCATCACAGGAAGAATTATGGGATTATCAAGGGGGAAAGAGGGAATGTAAGGAGAATTTGGGGGAATGTCATTAACCACATGTGCTTTCTGTTAAGTTCTGCTCAAAAGTCTACCTCTACTTCCCCTGATTACTTTGCGCTTATCTTAGAAAAGCAGGGGGAAAAAAAGATCAAGTAGACAATGTCTGCAAGCTAAAGAAAACAAGAATGAATGAGGAACAGATGCCTTAGAACTTTCTCGATCAGCGTACATCTACTGTGTTCACCGATTGCTCCAAGTAGATGATTCCCATGTTATTTAGGATGGGGCTTAATCCCAGATTACCTGTAAACTTTTCCTCTCTCAACATCCATCTTCATTTCTTTGCCCACACAGCACTTAGGTCCCTCCTGCCTACCATGATCTCTAAGATAATCAATTCCCAGCCTCGTCAGATGGGTCCCTCAGAAACCCTTCGTCCTCCCAAAAAGGCTTTGCCAGCTCCCCCTCGCTATCTCCTGCGCAGATGCACAACAGCAAAGCTGTTCTTCCTGTACAGTGCTAGCCATATTGTTCGCTTTGAACATTCATCCGTTCGGGAAGGCAATCCTACACAGGCTTCACATTCAGGTGCCTCGTGCCTCTTTTCCTTGTATATTTTTAGGAAACCTGACTTCTGGTACAACTGACCTATTTCTCAGCTGTCTTTGGATTGCATCAGGGATGCACTCTAGCAAAGTCCAAAAGGAGAAGATAAATTTCACTTGGAGACAGGGGAGAACTATCTGCACCATATGTAGTACACATGTTAATATGCATTATGTATGGCTATGTTATATATATTATGCACAGCTAACATCTTCCACTTCCCTCTCTTTAATAATGAAAATGTCTCTAACAGTTCTACCCTACTCTCCTTACACCTCCTCCGCTCTTATATTTGATAGCATCTGGAATATGCAAAGTCAGCCTTTTTTCCTCCCTGGCTGGGGGATGCAGCGGTGAGCTCGATGCCTGGTATGTTTTTGATGTCCTCCCTTCTAACCCTCCCCAGCTGCAACCAAGCCAGTGAGGGAGGGAAATCCTCACAGTCAAACCCAGAAAGCAAGTAGTGAAAACAAATAAGGTTGCTAAGGAACTGTAAAGATAAACTCAAACCCACAAAATCCAGGAAATAAAAAAGAACTTCACATGATTTTTGCAAACATACACCACTCATTGCTCTCAGTGCTCAGTCTGCCACATTATACTAGTGCAGCGCTAAGGCTGTGATTATACGTACCCAGGATTGATTCCCAAAAATGTGGAATCCCAAGAACCTAGCACATCACGCCGCTCAACAATAGCTACCTCTCTTCCTACTTTTAATTACACCACATGTAAGAATAGCCAAGTAAACTTATAGTGCAGGTAGACTGTAAATCATCTGTAGATCATTAGTTATCTATAATGACAGTAGTCTCATTAACAGTAGCAATGAAGATGCCAGCAGCACAGCTGAGCAACATCAGCATACGAACCGAGGGTCCACAGAAGGCACAAATCGGACCCTCCCTGGTTTTGCCACCCTGGTGGCCAGACAATTCCACCTCCGTTTCACCGCACAGGTACAGCCTCGGGATCCACCCTTTGCCCCCAGGGATTCTCTTGAAGCCAAATTTATTGCTATGCCCAACCCGTAAATAAAGCTATCATCTCCAGTGCGTTGGGAGGTAAGAAGATAAAAGCCAGAGGAAAGGGGTGAACACACCAGCTACGCCTTGCCCGGGACAGGTAGAGCCTGGGGCCATGTTTACATTTTCAGAGCCTGGTGAACTCTGGAAGCAAGGGGCAATTGAGGCAAGGCAAGGCAAGCCCCTTTCATCAGCTGCCCTTTGAGCACCGCATGTTCTGTTCCCCACGCACACAGCTACAGGGCAGCACCTGACAAATTTCCTCACACTTTAAAAGACTCTGGGAAATAAGAACATGCCACTGGAAGGGTTATATTTAGCCCTCCTACCTCCGTTTGCCTTGAGTTAAAATCAGATACTGAGAACGCAGCGATTTTCTACCATGCAGAGATGCAGTTGTACAAGCTGGACCTCTGAAATCACATTAGCCACCAGCCTTGTGGCTTAATCATTGCTTCACAGCAAGGTTGAAACTTCACTGAAAGAAATGAGGTGAACTCAGCTGCTGACTTGGCTCCATTCTATCTCGTCATACAGAGATCACAGTGGTTCACTTCTGCCATGAAAAACAAGAGAGCATTTCCACTTCCCACTCAAGAATTTGCACCAAAATGGCACCGCTTTGAGTAGTATAAAGTCTTCATTAGAAATGGAGCAAACTTTAATCCTTGCTAACAACATAACTTGAAAGTGATCGGTATGAAATAGCAGAGCCTAAATATCCTTACACCATACCCAGGGGAATTTCTCCGCACCTTATGTATCTGATGCATTTTGTCCAGCACGTGGCTGTATTTCACCAGTACAAAACCCAAGAAGAAAAGGGTGTTTACACCCACAGCCACAGGGTGGGACATCAGGCCCTTCAGGTTCCACCTTTAGTCAGCAGAGAGAAAAGACCCTGCAAAGGGTGAATAAATGCACCTGGGCTCTCCCCACCACCGATTTCCTGTGCCTCTCCGGGGGCTGCGTGGCAGTAACCACCGCAGCTGTCCGGAGGTGCAGCAGCCCCCACCTGGCCGAGCTGCCCCTTCAGACAAGGAGCAAACCAGCAGCAGCGTGAAACACAACCCGTGCCAGGGTGCCACAGCTTATCTCCGAGGGCTACCGCTCAGGAACTGGCTCACTTTTTACATTAAGAGGTGACAGGATGTTAGGTGATCTACCTTACTGCTACAAAATTCAGGTTTTAAACACCAAATTAAGCACCAAAGTTAGGTTCCAAATTAGGAAAATATGACTTAGTTGTTTACGACTATGGGCGTGCTGCCTTTTACAAACGTAAAAGGCAGCACATCCATTAGTACAATTCTTCTACAGCTATTGCCAAACACGGCTTTCAGTCAAAAGCGTAGTGGTTTGTACTTCAGAAAGGTATGGTGGGAAATACAAATCTGAAGTAGCTTATGGAATTATCAATTTCTCAAATACACAGTTATAGACCGGAGAAAAGGATTTAAGAGAGCGCCATGCAATTTATTTTGTGTAATGAAACAAACAAAAAAAAATTTACGTAATCTATTGAAGATAAATGTTTGTACCCTCAAAAAGATCTCAAACTTTTAAAGCCCTTTCTTCATCACACTACGAGTTTTATCAAACCAGCACAGCAAGCACATCATGTGTGGCATTCACACAGCCACAGTTACAGATCAGCTCTCGCACGAGGAGAGCAAAGCTGCCCAACAGCTTCCATCCAGGATGCAGAAGACAAGTGAAAATAACAAACCACTTATTTCTGATGTGACACTTCAGCCGATTACACTGAGAACATTAACACGAAAAGATGAAGAATTAAAGACATAACTAGAATGAGCAGCCTCAGAAAGCGTGGACACTTTTATCATAATTTTATCATAATTGTGCTAAAGGGCAGAGTAATAGCTTCCAAAGAGACTAGCAGAAGAAAAAAAGCAAGGTCCTTCAATATGTTCCATTAAGCTCTTAAACTCTCATCCCTTTACCCAGGTCTTTCACCGATTCTCCACTAACTCAGAAGCACAAACTTAGGAGGAAAGCGGGGTAAGAAGAAAAGGCTTGTACTTTTTGTGGTTGCCTCACATACTTCCATTCTGGGCACAAATCAAGCATCAAAGATCGAAATTCAAACTGTAATGGTTCCATTTATGCCTAAAGCAAACATCAGGTACTTTGCTGCCATGGTGATGAACAGTAAAAACACCTTAATCACTCCCGATTCGGCAAGTGTAAGGCAGCAATAGTTAAAAACATAGTCTGGTATCAGACACGTACTGTGAGTTCACACTTCAGAAAATGGTTTATAGTTTATTGAGTATTGCAGTTGTGCAAAACACGAAATACAGAAACAACAAGTGAACAAAGCAGTTGTGTATACTACACATATACACCACCCTGGTCCTGCACAGAATTTATGAGATGAGTTGATTGATTGAGGGTTCCAAACAGAACAGCCATAAAACTGCTCGGGAAACCTGCCTGACTAGTGTATGTTTGCTAACACCGAGAGAATAAATACTCAGCTTCAGAAAACTAAGCAAGTTATATCACATTTTTTATTTTAAATAACCAAGTTCCATGCTAAAGCTCGATACCCCCATGTTCCCTTTAAAATGACAAACCATTAAAAAGATTTTTTTATAAAACTAATTTGAAGGTACAAATAGTTTTCCAAGCTGTTCCAGACCATCAAGCTGATTTTGACTTTTTGGGACTAACCCCACCATCTTCAGCTGACTTCTCTGCTGGCCTCTTTTTTAACCCTTTCATTTTCCGCGTCTGCAGTTTACCAAGATCTTGCTTCTGCATGTGGATTCGACCGTAAGTTGTACCAAACACATCATGGGAGATATTCTTTTTCTTCTTCGGCTGTAAGGGAAGAACAACATTAGTATTTCTGAGCAGAGAGTGCCAGGAGCCCTGGTGAGAATCAAGTGCCTAAAAGCAAGGCCGCTTGAATCGTTTCCAGCTTGGAGATTAAGAATTATTCTGTATGTTCTATACACTTCCAGAGGAGAGTCTGTGGGCCAGCTATCACCACAAAAGTGCTGTGGCCCCAGGAATCTCAGCTGGCCTATATAAAAGTAAGCTTTGGTCAAATACATAATAATTACTCCAGCTTTTGCTCTTCTTCACAGACGGATCTGGAAGTAACGTACTTTCCAAGGGACGTACCTTGAGGGCTTTTGGTTGTTTTAAAGACAGCTTATAAAGGTCATCTGAAGCTAAATGTGTCCTCCTCATAACCAGATCTAATGAAGGTCCCATCTCTTCCAGTTCAATTCTTGGTATTTTACAGCCAGATTTCTTTAGAAGCACCCTAGGAGGGAAAAACAACCAAAATCAACATCATCCTCTGTGATAAAGATTTACCTGTCTTCAGTCAGGCAGGTTCAATCCTATAGTTCGGAAGACTATTAAAAACAATGGCTACTGCTAACTCCATTATTGAGAAAAATGTCTGTTAACATATTATAAATTGTTATTGAATCTGCCCCATCACAATTTGAACACACCCAAAATATAACCTGGTTAATGTAACTTTTTTTTTTTTTTTTGTAATGAGACCAGTATTCGTAGAATCATAGAATGCATTGGGTTGGAAGGGACCTCTAAAGGCCATCTAGTCCGACCCCCCTACAATAAGCAGGGACATCTCTAACGAGGTCAGGTTGCTCAGAGCCCATCAAGCCTGACCTTGAATGTCTCCAGGGATGGGGCTTCCACTACCTCTGGGCAACCTGTTCCAGTGATCCACCTCCCTCATAATAAAGAACTTTTTCCTAATGTCCAACCTAAATCTACCCTTTTCTAGCTTAAAACCATTACCCCTTGTCCAATCACCACAAACCCTTGTGAACAGTTCTTCCCCTGCCTTCCTACAGGCCCCCTTCAGGTGTCGGAAGGCCGCTATAAGGTCTCTCCGGAGCCTTCTCTTCTCCAGGCTGAACAACACCAACTCTCTCAGCCTGTCCTCATAGGAGAGGTGCTCCAGCCCTCTGATCATTTTCATGGCCCTCCTCTAGACACGCTCCAGCAGGTCCATGTCCTTCACATGCTGGGGGCTCCAGAGCTGGACGCGGCACTCCAGGCGAGGTCTCACCAGGGCAGAGTAGAGGGGTAGAATCACCTCCCTCCACCTGCTGGCCACACTCCTTTTGATGCAGCCCAGGATGCGATTGGCCTTCTGGGCTGAAATTGCACACTGGTGGCCCCACCTTCTCATCCCCCACTCCCCCCAAGTCTTTTTCCACAAGGCTGCTCTCTAGCATGTCTTCTCCCAGCCTGCATTGATACTGGCAGTTGCCCCAGACCAGGGGCAGGACCCTGCACTTGGCCTTGCTGAACCTCATGAGGTTCGCCTGAGCCCACCTCTCCAGCCTGTCCAGGTCCCTCTGGATGGCATCTCATCCCTCTGACATATCCACTGCACCACCCAGCTTGGTGTCATCAGCAAACTTGCTGAGGGTGCACTCAATGCCACTGTCAATATCGTTAATGAAGATAATTAAACACCACTGGTTCCAGTACAGACCCCTGAGCGACACCACTTGTCACCGTTTTCCATCTGGACATCGAGCCATTGACCACTACTGTCTGGATGTGACCATCCAGCCAATTCCCTATCCACCGAACAGTCCACCCATCGAACCCGTATCTCTCCAGCTGAGAGAGAAGGATGTTGTGGGGGACCGTATCAAAGGCCTTGCAGAAGCCCAGATAGATGACATCCGTAGCTCTTCCCTTGTCCACGGATGCAGTCACTCCATTGTAGAAAGCCACTAGGCTGGTCAGGCAGGACTTGCCCCTAGCAAAGCCGGGCTGACTGTTTTGACAAATTAGCAGTATGACTGTTAAAACGCAGTCCCAGGACCCCACAAGCCATATCGCTCCTCAAATTCATAATAGTGCCCTGGGTATTAATAGACATGAAAAATACTTACTATCGTTTACAGCAAAATAAACGGAGCCCTAACTGAGAAATTTTTTTGTTCGTTTTGAAGACTGAGACTGATAAAAGTGATTTTGTTTTAAGAAAAATCAAAATCTCATCATGGGACACAAGCTATGAATGAATGCTCACAGCCTGCTAAGGCAAGGCCATGAACTGTGAGGGTGAACACCAACGCAGCACAAAAGACTGCCCTGTCCTGCCCTTGTGTGTCACTGGCTGCAGCCTACTGCCTGCCGTTCTCTGACACACACCCGAGTGAGGAGAGTCCCTGAGAACAGGCTAAGCCTATGAAGGCTCAAGCAGTGCTCTGACTTCACCAGGTTAATTCACACCACCGCGCTAATCCAGCCACGTGAAGGAGCAATCCTCCTCGCTAGAACAGGGAGCTCAACAAGGAAGGAAGCAGCACGTTTAGGGCTTAAGTGTTTTCTTTCTGCTGCACAAGTTACTCTGCGTTACGCTCGAACACCTCTACGCACTCCACGTTTTAAATGCACCAAACTATTGCTTAAACCAGTTTGATTACACAACTACAGGCTAAATTTGGGGAAAAGCTGACAAGTGTCCCAAAAAGCAAACAAATAGATAAAACACACACTCACTTATAGCTTCGCATGTAGATTTTCCCCTCTACAGCTGTGAAATGCAAAACGTACTCTAATCCAGCCAGACGAATACTGGGCACATTAGGACCTCTGAAGAAATCTGAAAGAATATTTAAACAGAATAAACACCAGGTTTCTTGGCTGAAAATCAAACCCATATCTGACTGTAACAAATCGGTTTATTTCATAATGGACCCACATCACATCCCTGCCATTGACTCCTTGCTTATACAGGCATTTTTATTGCGTCTAACTAAGCATGGCTATACACGGGATGGCTCTAGAAGAGCCAAATCTGTACATTTAATGGGATTCTCACAAAATAGCCTCTACGTAAAACCGCAGCCCTGCCCAAACATGGGAGGAAACTTAACACTGCACATGTTAGCTCCTGCACTGTGAAACCAAACGTGTGTAGAAATCCTGACAGGAACACAGTGACTTTCCAGAGATAATCTGGTAGCAATATCCAGGCTATCTAAAAATAACTGCATGGAGAAGAGCAACTACACTTTCAGAGCAGTAATGTAGCTTTATTAAGCTAATTGGGATAACTGCATTGTCAATTCTTCTAAATACTCAGCTCTAAAGTCAGAAAAATGAAATGTATCTTATTTTGCATTTAGGACAGTTCACACTCAGCTAAACATAGATCAATACAGAGAAGCCATTAGTTCAGGTATCTGTTTAAAGACATCATTCAAAAAACTGATACTTAAGATTCTTAATCAGAGCCAGATTTGGAAGAGCACAAAGAAGGACCAAAACCAGTACAAAACAGACTGAAACTGGATCTTGTCTCCTCTTACCTACATTTTCTCTCTCTGACTTGTGGAAAAAGTTTAGATACATCATTTCTTTCATAGCTCCCCCACAAAACACACTTCTTCAGGTAAAGCCATACTCATCATTACAATTAACATTTTCTCTATTTAATAAGCAACACATATCTATAAAAATAAGACACTTGAAACACTTGCTTAGTTTGCAGAGGGAACACTGAAATACAGGTTAAATACAAAATGAGCCGTCTCTAGCGAGGTTCTTTTATCAGGCTATGAAAAAACCACTGTGCAAGCACAGAGCTTGCAACAAGCACCGCAATCTGTCCAACACATGCAGAGGGTGGAGAAAGAATGTGACCTTGACTGAGGGAACAAGGTGTGCTAATGCACATGACAGGGCAACGCTGAACCATAGGAGAACTGCTAACAGGCGCAAAACACATCAGTCTTTTCCGTTCTGTCCCATTTTCAGATCCCTCAGCTGGTTGCCTTTTCCTCCATCACCTTTTTCAAGGGTATCAGCACTGGAGTGACATCCAAAACAAAGTCTTGCTGGCAGACACCAGCTGGAGTATAGCCGGGAAATTTCCTTAGTCAATTACATACTCTCTCTCCTCCTCTTGTGGGCTGAGCTTGCAGTTAGAGGAAAAGTTGCAAATAAAATATTTTGTTTGTTTCTGGCATACATTTTCCCTTCAACTGGTTCTCTGTGGGTACACGAGCTTTACATTTGCAGTGGTTTTATTGGCATCTCTCTTTCGTATTTTCCTGTGGCATCATACATCCTTTTACCCACAGGATGAGCTCTTCCAACAAATGCAGGTGGTCAGGAATCTCTGTTTCCTGGCAATGCTGAACAGCCGCAGAAACCTTACACCTCAGCATACCCAGAGAGCTGAAGTTTTTTTAGTGTACCCTTAATCTACAACTCTTGCTTTGGTTGGAATAGAGACTTGCTTTCTACTTTCTTTCCATTCCTAGTTCTTTTCCCCCATCGTCCTCAACATGTTTCCAGAACTTCTGATTCATTTTTTCCTGCAGAGAGCTTCACTGGGTCTTTCCATGTCCAGATTAAATTCCTAAATTATTTTGGAACATGAATCTATACACTTCTTTCTGTATCAATTTGTATCCACAAGCTGGTAACACTGTAACCCATGCAGGTTATCATTAGCAGAGTTCAAGCTCTAGCCCAGACATTTCCCAGCCATCCCCTTTCTTGGCCAGAAGGAACCCACAAGTCTTCAGAGACACTCAAAAAAGTCTATGAGGGAGGCTGTATGAAGAAGCAGCTGACGGTCAGACTAAAATGGTAGAGGTGTCCTGGAAACCAACATTTTGGAAAGTGTATAAGCAAGACTCGGAGTGCCTAACTGTTTTTAGGAAGAAATAGGATGTGCAGTAACAGAACTAGCAAGTAGGCAGTGTTGTAAGAGATGAAACAGTTTATAAATACAAGCATAAAAAGTTATTAGAATTTCATGAGCTGCATTCCAAGGACTTACATCGTAAATGAATTCCTACACTAACACATCAGTAGTCTGGGATGTCTTTGTCTTCCATATCTCCAAAGAAAAATGCAGTTGCCATTTATTTCTCCTAAATAACTTCTTCCACTTCACAGTTTAAGCAGACTATAGGGTTTGGTCACCATCAAGACAATAATTCGCTCTTGCCTTTAATTTTACAAAGAAACTGCTGTCAGCTGATATTCCAAACACACATAAACCCTTTTGACACCACAAAAGCCAATGAAAGCTTGGTTTTTTACCAGCATCACTGGCATCGCATTGCTCTGGCAAGAAGCAGCTGTTAGCTACCTAGTAGTCCCTCTGGGATCCCAACAATACTGCCACAGTAACAAAACATTTGCCGCTGTTGCTATAAAGACATTTTTCTGTCTGTCTTAGCAATAGAGTAGCAGCTTAAAAGCACTATCTTCATCAGGAACAGAAAGAATCAGGTCTTCCCTACCAGTTAAGGGCAGTTTTGAAGCAGATCACGTTATTACCCAAACGATATTAATTGGTTAGTGACACCTTCAAGCCTTTGCATTCCTTAACCTTTTCCTTTGTCTATTGTTTTGAATCTAGGTATTTCGTAGAAGTCAGCAGAACATTAAGACCGGGGGGGACTTGGAGTACATTCAAGAATAAAGATTGGGTGCCAGTTTGAGTATATTTGACTGCAGAGTCATTAAAGGCAAATGACTAAAAAAGAAAGGAGAAAAGGCAGATGAACATCGAAAGAAATAGGACAGGAAAGACGAGTTAGTTATTTGGCAACAATCTAACGATGCCCGTCTGCCATTTACGGTGTCGAGCTGTTTGATCGCGGGGTGCATGAGCACATCTGGATGCCAATCACCAACACTGTGCAGACGTCTGAACAAGAAAATAATGCACCTGCTTCCTTTAGAGCGACACAAACGTGCAGTACTAAAACTCACTTATCTTCAGATTCAACATTCACCCACCTTCAAAGGTTTCTAAGCACAGTTACTAGCCTTTCATCAGTCCCCAAGAACCAGTCAGCTGTACTGAGAGGATGCAAATTTTCTACTCTCCTGCTTCTTTTTCAGTTTAATTCCAGATGAAATACCTTGCTTTAAGGAATTAGAATAGTAACAGGGGGAGGAAAAAACACCTCATTTTTAAGGTCGGTTTCTAGAGAGCAATCATTGATCTGCTTGCTCAGGAAAAAACAGCCCAACCAATATTTATCTTATATGAAAGGGAGAACTTGCAAAGCTATAAAATTACGAACTGGTACAACCCAAGAATGGAACTGAAAGAACAAGACTGTTCTTACTAGGCCAGTTTCAGTATTTTAGCACAGCTTAGGGAAAAAAAATAATAAAAAGAGTAATCACCTTTAGAAAGATGCATTTTTTTAAGTGTCAAGAGATGCAATACCATATGACTTCTACACCCCAAAAAGCCACCCTAAGAAAAGTATAATCATTTTCTGTAGATCCCCAGAAAAAACAACACAATGTGTTTTATCTTCCGGAGCCTCCAAACTTGAGAGAGTTAAAAAACTTTATGCCAGTTTGTCTACTAAGCTCCAAGCCTGCCTTAAAGTTAAGACACGGCTATTATCTACAGCTGATTTTTACTGCCCGTGTTCTTCCCAAGCGTTCTAGTCAAGGGCACTTTTGTTAGAATTGGTCACATTTCCAACAGAAAATGCTTTCGTTACAAAAACACAAGCTCATTTATACTGATTTGACCTTTTTGTAAGCAAAACTATCCCACTTCCTGAACCTCATCCACTGATTTCAAACAAGATACTTCAAAAATATTATTTCAGAGCACTGGAACAGGCTGCCCAGAGACATTGTGGAGTCTCCTTCTCTGGAGACATTCAAAACCCGCCTGGACGCGTTCCTGTGTGATCTGTTCTAGGTGGTCCTGCTCTGGCAGGGGGGTTGGACTAGGTGATCTTTCGAGGTCCCTTCCAACCCCTAACATTCTGTGATCCTGTGAAATATATTATTTAGTTAGAAATGTGACGATCCAGTACAATTACAAGGTAGAGTCTTTATGAAAAATGCCAGAATTTTCCCACAAATTCACGAATTTTAGTGAACACAAAGTTCCAACTTCAGAGTCTCTTAGGCCAGGCATTTCACCCCCTCTAACAGTCATGATGATTAGTTCACTTTAATTTCACGTGACATGGAACTTGCAAGTGACTGTTCTTGTTTTCTTTCTGTGCTGAACATAAGCAAACATTTATTGACAAACCAGCATTTCCCAACAGATCACATTACTACAGATTCATGCAATCCTACTGCTCAAAAAAATAAAAATACTGACCAATAAGAAGGCTCTTCAGTCTTCTGTATTCTTCATTTACATCAAACATGTCACCAGCAAATATCAACATCGGTTTTGTTCCCTCAGGACATTTACTGTTCTGCAGAATAAGAATTTTAAAACAGAACAAAAATTCAGACTGTGGGAGGGAACATAATATGGACTGAACAGGTGGTTGGCCATTCAACGCTGAATGAAAAATTGTCATCAATAGGGACAGAACAGACACATTTTTCATTGAACAACACTGTATGTGTATGGAAGGCCTTTGTTTTTAAAAGAGTGAATTGCATTATTCTTTGTGCTGGATTAAAAAAAAAAGAAAAAAAAAAAGAGCGATTCTTTACTATAAAACGTATGAGATAACACCTTCTGGTGAAAATGAGTGAATTCGACTGCGACTACTAACAAGAAAAATAAATTAGAGGTAAACAAGTTTATCGCACTTCTGACCCTGGGGAATACACGAAAAAGGCTAAGAAGAATAGTTTAATTTTAATTCTGGCCTAGAATTTTAATTCTGGCTAACAAATACATTTACTTAACTGTAACTTCCCTGCTATAAACAGCGTTATGAAGACACACACCACAATCTGACTTTAAGGGGAAGATTCACCTTTATAAACCATAATTTCTTCACTATCCCTCTAGTCTGTCCTGCCAATTTATACGCTGTGATGAGAATAAGCACTTATTTTTGCAGTGGAAGGAGTGCTTGACACAGAAGTACACACATATGAAGTATGTTTTAGACCTGCCAAAATGACCCTAACACAGCCATAAAAGGTGAATTTTCTCTGGGTTCAAATAATCAAGGTGCTGACTCCCTGCCTAAATGAAGTATAGTTCCCTGAAAACTGGCACTTATGTGCTACTGAAAGCTAAAGAAAGTTTCAGAATCATCTCAGTCACCAGATTGACCCTCCTTGACTATAACTGGAGAAGAGGGATTTCAGTTTTCAAAACCTACGCCAGTTTATATAGGAACCCACCATGAGCGGAACCTGACTAAGGAATTTTGTAAATGTAATACATCAATTAAAAAGGAAAACATTAGGAATAAGCCAAGTGTAAAAAAAGAATTTGCAAAGAAAGTTGCAAGCTTGCTCAAAACAACCAAAACAAAAAGCGGAGCATAAAATAACATTCTGGGGTACACAAATACCCTCATATACTACATGAAACGCTTTTTTAATCAATCCTTGTCCTTACTTCAAAGCACAGAAAAAGCCAATGCACCAAAAAAATCCACCAGTAGATGTCACTGAAATACTGAATTAGTGATTCCTCACCTTGACATCTTTCAGGGATACAAACTTCTCAACGCCTAGCTCAATCATGTCTAGGACGTGATAGTCAAACATGCGACCTGTGAAAGTAAAAAGAGAAAACCCAGCTATTTAAATATTCATTGAAAACTAGACCTTTCATCCAAATACAACCCCAAGTGAGCCATATTACCTATTATCAGGTTGTTAGGTCGCTTCTTGTTGTGAGAGCCAAACAGAAACAAAGAACAATCTGATTTCTTTGAAAAAAATTCCTACAATTGAGGAGAAGAACAAGACTCATGAGTTCTGGTTCGTAGCATTTAAAATGTTGGTGAAGGTACAGAACACAAACATCTGAGTTTAGGAGCTGCTTAATGAGAAGAGCAACTGCACTTACCAGAAGAGTTTTGAGCATGTCCAGGTCCACATAAGCGAAAGCTCACAGCTGGGTTCGAGGTTCAAATAACAATTCATTTCTTTTTTCATTTCCCATTGCCATAGTAGCGATCAAACCAGGCAACTTTTTTCTTGCCATTTTATCTGTAATGCCCTTTTTCATCATTCCTCGTTATCTGTTTTTACATAAGATACCTCCAACCACTTCTCCTTGCCTGAACAGTAAGTATTTGCAAGTTGGCTGCAGCTCTAGTGCCTCATTTTAGTTACCCAGCTAAGCTTTATGCAGCGTATGAGCTTTGCCTAACAGCTTCTGAACCACCAGTTAACTCCCTCAACAGCAAGCCCAGGAACATCTGCAAACATCCGATGCTCTCACAAGAGTCCTACTGCAGAGCAACTTCACGTCAATTTATTATTTAAGACTAAGATGCTACTTAAAACCAAGCCAGTGGTGACTAACGTAGAGAAGGATCTTTCCTCCAGGCGCAGTAGGTAGAGACTCTGTTACGGCATTTTGCCCAGCGCCAACACGACAGCCGTTCTTTCTGAGGATGCCCAACTCCAAAGCCTTTCTACGCACTGCTGCTTCCCAAGGCAGCCCCTCATCCCGCACATCAATCACCGTCCCTAGATGTACATGCACGCTATTCTTTCAGTACTTCCCAGAAGTACCAGAGATTCTACACCTGCTCTTAGCAGTTGAGAAGCAGAAAAAGCCACTACACCTCCTCCCACCCCTGCAACAGCAGCAGCTCCGAGAGGACACTGCAGCTCTGCCCCTCTGGGAGGTCAGGAGAGACACCCCAGGAGCAATCCCAGGCTGGATTAACCGCACGTACAAATCACACAGCTCGGCACTGAGCTCTGCCACCAGGTCCCTGAAAAATACTGACTGGAGACAGATCAAGAACAGAACCATCCCCCTGAAACACTTGCTTATGCACAGCTCTGTGAACTGTGTGTTGATACATGTAATTCTCTAATAGCTGTATGGTATTTTATTAAAAAGATGCAACAAACTCAAATGCCTCAAACGTGTCCTGCATACACTGCAAAATCACACACATTGCAAAATTGACCTTCTAAAATGTGTAACCAAGTTAAAAAAAAACCCAAAACTTAGATCTGACTTTCCACAGCTTTCTAGGCTCTGATTATTTGTTGACACTGTTCTCAATGACCCAACCCCATTGTTTTGAGGTTACAAGAATTAAAGTTCCCTGAAGGATCCTCTTTTAAAGTATCAGAATGATTTTAGCTGCCGTGTTTTCCCAGAAATTATCAGAAGTTTAAAGCAGTGGTCATCTGATGATTAGCTAATTCCTATATGACTGTGAGACCAAGTCATCCAGCCTTGGGATTGTAAGAGGTTTAGTCTCAGCAAACAATGTCACAAATCTTTCCTGGCTGCCTACAGTAATTTCTCCATTCCACTCGCGATATTTTAGTGGTGGCTGTGTTACTGTGCTTCATGCCAAGAACAGCAGCACATACTACAACACCTCAGCATCAGTATTGATGCAGATTAACTAACTTTCAGTTACTGGTGTATCTAAGTGTCAGTGTATCTATGCTGCAACCACAATCAGGTTTTTTGTTCCTAACATGTCAAAGAGTGCCTTAATGGTCCAACACACCTTCAGCAGCTCCTCTAGCACTCACTATTGGCTGCCTTCACTTCTTGAAAAAGGATCCTTAATGATCTTTAAGGTTCCTTAGCTATCTCCCCTCTCCTCTCTAAATAATAAATTTAGAGAGAATTCCTTAGATATGTTCCCCTTTTTTTTTTCCATAATCCCTTTCAGACGAGAAACCGCATTCGTGCCCAGTGTGTATATATATTTTTTTTAATTTGCACACAGATTTCCTTAGCACAATACCCCCAAATTCCCAGCTTCAGTGTCCATTTTCAGTGAGTTACTCCAACAACTGCCGCACGCATTGTAAAGCTGACCCTTATTTCCCTACGTGAGTCTGCAGTGGTGCAGAGCAAACCTTACCAAATCATGATGGGAACCAAACAACTCATTTTGGGATAATTCAGTTTCGTCTTTATTGTAAAACCGCAGCTGAACATCACCATCTCCTTTCTCTCATTTTGTTGAAGGAAATACATGTACTGCTTTTATGACAGATATATTTCATCAGTTCAAGTAATGCTTCGATTGAAGTGCAAATGTGTGAGATACAATCTTAGGACCAGCCCCTTTATTTTTTGCCTTGCGGCTCATAAATTAACTTGACCTTAAAGCACTGAATTAACACCAAATCCAGATAGGGGCACAGCACCAAATGTATTTCCAAACACACACCCCCTTCCAGAATCCCCTCCAAGCCTCTGAAAAGCCGCTTCTGCAACCTCTTTGCAGGCCAAATCTAACAGAAATGGCGCATTTTTCTGACAGTTCTTGAACGAATGGTGGAACAGAACTCTCAGCAGCCACCTCACGCCTGCACAGCTGACGCACACAGCTGCACATGATACTCTGCGGGGCTCCTCTTCCTCTACTCAAACAGGAGGAAGCCACAGAAAGCTATGGCCCCTCCATTTAACCATTTTAACCTATGAAGTCCCCAAAGTGAAAACAGTTGTTCACAAGCTATGTCACTTTAGAGGACTGACTTTTAGAAAACCAAAACAAAACCCTTTATTCTTCCTTTCATCTCAAGCACTGTTACTTACAAGAGCGTTACCGACTCCTACATCTGCCTGTCAGTTTACAGAAACACGCATTTACGGTAAAGACAAAGTCCTCACAATATGACGATTCTGTCTTGCAGCCAGAGGAAACACAGGCCTGCTGACGCCACAAATCCAGACACAGCCCTACCTTCGACTCATCTGAACTCCCTATAACCTTTGTTTCTCATCTAGTTCCTCATGGAGTAATAGCAAATTATTCTCCAATCAAGTTCTTCATGATTTTAAGGCTGTAAAATGAGAAGAAGTGGTTTATACTCACCAACGATGTTTGATCCTCAAAAGGTCTAGTAATATTTTTCCTGAGGAAAAAAAAGCAGGGGGGGGAGTTTAAAGAAAAAACAACCTCAACAGGCCCAGACATGCACTTCTAATTAGTTCTGATAACATTAAAATTCTGCATTCCTCTGGAAACTCCAGCAGCAGAGTTTCAGTTTTAGTTCACACCATAAGCCATATTAATACTGCCAGAAGTGCCTTAGTGCCGTCGCTGCCAGTTCAAGTACTTTCCTCCGTGTTTCCCACCTCCTGGGGCCTGAATTCCAGACCACCACCAGGGACACTTCATAAACAACTGCCTTTGCTTGTTCTTCCAACGTGAAATTTAGCTATTAATGTCTCTGCACTACATGAATCCAGATCCTGGGTTCCCATTTTGAGCAAGACACGTCCATCATCACAATCTCTAACTCCAACTTATAAGAATTTGGGTACAAGAACTCCAGCCTACCCAAGTGACACAGAACCTCGCTGGCTGTTTGCAGAGATCAGAGAAGCCAGCTGTTCAAGCTTCCCGAATCCTGCTCCGTAACACTTGGCACAGAACTGAGCCCAGCACCAACGCTGATCACACGTAGCTCGTTTCCAGTCTACTGAAATTTATCACGAATCGCAGTCACTTTCCGCAACCCCTTCCGCTGTTCAGGCCCTGACGCCAGCCAGCACCTCTATTCATGCTTTGAAATTACCAAAAGCGGACTTGTCAGAAGACTCAAAGCAAGACCACTTACTTTTTGTACAGTACAGCAAAAGGCTTCTTCACAGCATACTGCAAAAGACAAAGTTAAATCCATGTTATCTCTTCCACAGGCAAGGGCACAGCACTGCTTTTTCTAAAACCCGACACCTTACACGATCACATCAAATGCAGTAACTGTTTGTGCAAATCACTCTAACAGAAGGCACCTCAAAAGGCCTGTGCTACTAACACAGGTAGTAATCTTGATTCCCAATTCAGGGAACCAACCCTTCAGGTTGATAGTAATCTTGATTCCCAATTAATTGCAGAAGGATTTATTTCTAGAAACTAAGGAACAGCTGAAATCGAAGCCATGTAGTGGAATCTCTCTGCTTCCAGAGGCATGAGGAAAAACAGGGAGCGAACAACCACCTGATTATCATCGGCATAAGATGGCAAGAAAACGACAAAGCAAGGAGAGAAAAGGCTGTAGGAACAGCTACAACGTGTCAGGTACGGAGTCAGGAGGCAGGATTGGCACCTTTAAGTTTTAGGAGAAGCTGAAAGCTCCAGATCAATAGACACAAGCAGTTTACAGGAGTGTGGGATATGACTTCAGCTGAGTGATCCAGTCCCAATTCTGTACCTAATGCTCTTGTTTTCAAACAGACTTGCAACACCTCACCTTATATACTGGACAATTGTGGAAAAAAATAATAACAAAGAGTATAAGGTCAAAACTTCTGGCAAAGAAGAAAAATAATCTCCATGAGTGGTAAGTAATGACAGTTTTGGTGTACTGGTCGGTCTGAGATTTGGGGAATAGGGAAGAGTATGAAAATACTGATCTTCCAGAAGAGAATATGCAAATTGTTAAGAAAAAGAAGATAATCTTGCTATGGCACACAAAAAAATATCAATTTTTGCACACTCCGTCAAACAACTTACAATGTCTTTAAGCACTTCAGTCACTGTTAAGTTTGCATTTCCTCCTTTTATGAGCATAGCATTTTTTGTATTTTCTTTAAGTTTGGGTTCTCTCTTCTCCAGAAATCTTTTTGCTCTCTTAGTTTTAGGCTTTCTGTAACAATAAATTAACAGTTAAAAACTTAGTATTAGTAACAACACCCGACACCGCAGAAAACAGTAAAACAAAACAAGAATAGGAACAAGCCGTGTTCAGGAAACTTGTTTCAGTGACTGAAACTAACCACAACCTGCAGAATTACAATTAATGCTAAAAAGTCCAGTCTCAGATGAAAGTATTTTACCATCACTCCTCTCCCTCTCCATCGCCCCAAGCTAGCAAAGCTGATTCTACACTCTCGGGCTTTTCAGTTTCTGCTAATTTAGAGCTTAAGCTATACTGGGATTCCCACAGACTGCTGACAGTCTGAAAGCTTCCCCTCACACCAGCTCCCTCCTCAAGTCAAGAGACTCGCGTATGAGAAAAAAAAAACAAAGTTACTTAGGTGACATCCACCAGCCTCAGCAGGGGCACAGAGCTTGGATAAACGAGTAACTACGTGGCTTGAGAACTACGTTTCTCCACTAGGCGAATGTAAAGCTTTTACTATCTCCTCCGTGAAGCATTATATTTATTTTCGTTTAAAACCCAACCAGACAACCCCTCCACACACAGCTATTTCCAACTGTAGATGAAGATAGTTCTTTCCAGTGCCCAGAAATCCATAAATCCCGACACCAGCCGGACATCACGTTTCCTTTAAGTCACCACCTGACCGCGGGCTGCCTCGCCACCCACACCAAGCTCGTTTTCCCTAGGCCTTTTCTCTCCCCCGGCCTCCCCCCTCGCCGAGCCCGGGGAAACCGCGTAGGCACATCCCGCCCGGTACCGGCCCCCCTCGGAGCCCTCACAGGCCGGGAGGGGACGGCTGGACACCCCCCC